TTTCAAAAACATTCCTTCTACAGCTCCCTTCATCGTGCAACGGGACACAGGTGCGCAGCGTATTCATCCTAAAATATGCAGCTGAATTTCCCCTGTGATAGAGATGTGGACCGGCCTGTGTGCATTCGAGCTGCATCTAGTCAATTAGGGCTGTCACGACTACTGAAATGAATTGGTCAACGTATTGTAGCACTTCACTCACTATCCTTGAAATCAAAGTTAGTGTAAACCAGTCACACTTGAAGCACCCTTACCTAAGTCTGATATCCGTGTGCTCCAGATGATTATGAACCCCGGACACAATGTCAATTTGCTACTCTTGTGTCATTAAATTAGCAGTATAACTTGGGCACTATAGTAAGTTGCAATTCTAGTTATTTTCTTATCAAGTGTATCAGTGAAACAGTATTATTTACTGTATTAGGATACAATATATTGTCCAAATTCATATGAAGATTACTCCCGAACTATGAGACATGCCACACAAATTGTTTGCGATGTTAGTAGTAGGAATCTCCACATATCTGGGAAAGAAAATGAAACGTCCACATTACACGCATTTAGTGCTGATTTGATAGCCAAAGATTTGGTTATCAACATCGTCCACCGAACTATCTGTCTTGAATACTGCGACTCTATCCCATAATAATCTACGTAATCACATTTATAGCTACACTCGAGCGTTTTCCTAGATTTCTTATCTTTTTGGGGTTCACTTATTGTGAATTATCTATGATTTTGTGTTCATATACCCTAATTGATCTTCATTGACTTTGAGATCATTACAAGGGATTCGGTATTCTGCCTAGTTGGATCTCTTAACCTTGTCCCTGAGTTTATAGGTTTAGATGTTTTTCTAATCCCAACCCTCCGTGGAGACCTTTTTTGTAGGTCAACACCGCAGAAATTTGGAATTCTTCCTTCACAATACCCCTCTTATTATTGACACTTGTGTTACCAACATCACTCATATTTTCTTTACAATTTCCAAAGGAATAAATTTCCTTTTATTTGATTTACTAGATGCATCACATAGTGAGACAGTATTATTTACTGGATTGCAACTTATTGTCCATAGTCAAATCAGGATAACTCCACAACTCCGAGTCTTGGTTTGTATAGTTCTGATTTTCTCGCCTGCTTTGGGATATAGGCAGTAGGATTTTCCATATGTCCGTAACGGATGCTACATCATTCCTGTTGAATGTATTGGGTGTTGATTAGATAAACAAAGATTCGTTTTAAGGGTTGTCACTTTATCCCAGCCAATTGTGTGTAACTGAATACATAGTTATGGTGAAGCCTTTTCCTAAATTCCTTAGCTTACTAATATCTACTAGATTTAATTTAGCTAGGTTTTTATGCTCGGATAGCCTAATTGACCTTGGTCAACCTCGCAGTCGTCACAGGGGATTCGGTTAACTAAACTATTCTGTACAACTGGATGAATAGGATCTTTTAACCTACAAAGCTTACGTCTAAGTGAGTTTGTAGGTCTCAATGCCACTCTAACCTCACTAGGATTTGTGGTATTATTAAAATTCAAGAGTCAAGTTATTCTATTAGACCAATAGTAGACTCCAGAAACACTCCTACTTATGACTAATCTAAACCAGGATAAGTAGATCCTGATAAGAAATTTAGAAAAAAGCTGGGTAATAGCTCTGCACACAATTACACACGACAGTATTAAAAACGGATCAATTGGGTGCAGGGAGAGATCGATAACCGAATCTTTGTTTATCGAATTAACACTTAATACATGTAACAAACATGATTCTGCACCTGTCCTAGATATATAGATAATTCTAATACCCTCGTCACAAAGGAGAGAGGATTAGAACTGTATAAACTATGTCTCAAAGTTGTGAAGTTACATGATATGAATATGGACAATAAATTATGTCCGAGACCTTATCTAGTAAACAATACTATTTCACTGTGACATTTGTAAAAAACGCACTAAATGGAATTACAATCTACCATAGTTCACCTATATTACACCAATATTAATGAAACTTAGCTAAATATTCGGTGACGGTACTTGGCCCAACTGAAAACCATTCTAAATGGAGACTTACTAACTCATATGACTTGAAGCACAGATTAGATGATATACATTTTGATGACAACGTGAAAATGGTTAGTTTTGATGTAGCCAGTTTGTATACCAATATACTGACTAGAATAGCTCTCGAAGCAGTTAGAAATGAGCTTAATAATGACCATAAGCTTATACTGCGAATTAAGGTACCAATAGATGAGATCATGTTGGGAGTACAGCTATGACTAACTTCCACAAATTTTAAGCTTCAGAATAAATTATACAAACGAACAGAAGTAGTTGCAATAACATCACCAATATCCCCTATCGTGGCAGACATATTATTTACGGTAAGTTTAAAATATTTAGTCCTGCTCTAAAAGTATGATTTTGATATGTAGATAACACGTTTAGTGTTGAAACCGGAGCATATGCATAGTTTCTTTACATATATAAATTCAGTAGTCAACGCGATCCAATTCACCTCTGAATTAGAAAATAGTAAAGGAGAATTAGCGATGTTGGTTGCATAATAAAATGAAAGTAAGATAGGAGTTTAGATGCTAGTGCCGTTAAAATAGATGTCAATAATAATAGGGATACTGTGAACGGAGAATTTAAAACCTTTTCTATGTTAACCTAAAAAGAAAGTATCCACGGAGCGTTACGGAAGTCTCAGTAAGGCTAGAATTTACGTTCTTATAAATTTAAGTGGGTGATTACTGAGATGTAGGTTATCCTAAATTTTTTTTCCTTGTCTCAAACTCTGTATTATCAATAAGTATTTTCACCCTATAAGTGAGACATTTAACGAGACCACTTGGCATAGGCTGAGATGATCTGAACTCTATGTAACAATTCAAATGGGAAGATTTCCCATCGATAAAAGTGTTCAAACATCGTTTTATGCTGAAACTAAACATCACCAGCTCCCCTTCATCACTTCCTAATTCGTAGGTAAGTTGGATTACGTTCATTACTGAATTTATGTGCGTGAGAAACTTATTTATATGCTCGGATTTCCGCAAAGTGAATGTCACCTACTGATCTAAACCGTGTGCAGTAGATAATACTCTCACTATGTGATACATCTATTAAACAAATTAAAATGATTCGCTTGTGGCAGTAACAGAGACTCCCTTCGATTCTTTTGGAATGAAAAGTAGGGTGGGTTAGTATAATCAGACTATCTATTCGCACAAAATAGTAAGTATCTCGTTAATCTCATTCGATGACCTTCTATCTCTATTTTCAGAAGCTTCTGGAGGTCAACTGCCGGGTTTGAAACTGACATCTCAACTTGAGTGGGAGTTGCAGGAGCCAAATCTGTTCTTTTTAGGTTAGGATTATGTCAAGCCGTTAAAATGTTCTATAAGGTGTCTCACACTACGATCTAGCCGCCTGTCATTTTCAGTTATCACTAATTCATCTCTTTCATTGAATCTCTCTGACCATTGTATCTTAACGAAGCTTAGTAACTGACGAATATTACCCAAAACCAATGCCAACATTATTTTCTTCGTCCTTCACCAATACTTGTAGTCATTACGAAGGCTATCAGTCGATTTAATTTTCAGTCGATTTGATACCTCGTGATCGGAACTAGTCGGAAAGACTCTTCTCGTATCAATCTGTTCAAATAAAGCTCCAGAGATGCACTGGCTTTTAATAACCTTCGGGTGTGGGTTAACGTCTTGAGAATACTTTTCAGAACAAACTTAGTTTACACCAAGATTCATCTGAATGAGAGATACTGCCATGTCCCGATAAATGTCTAGTAACCTCCATAAGTGGACACTAGATGCTCTCATATTCTATATGGGCACAGGAAGAATATAACGTTTGTTTCCGCACTAATTAGGATCGAAATGTACACATGTCCTTGACAATTCGTGACGAATGAAGTACTCCAGAAAAAAAATATCTTCCACCGAACTCCTACGATGGATAATAGCAACATGGTCTATCTGTGTCAACTATTGGTTTGATTTCGATAGATGGCAAGTGAGACAATGTGTCCCTTTGTTTCAATTTGAGACTGGCCAGAGGTAAGTGATTTTCAAAACTAAATTGTGAGAGATAGTCAAAGTAGTCGACAGAAGATTTAGCAGATACCTTGAAATTGTTTTCTGATTGGCTCGGTTTTGTTATGTGTTGAAGTCATCCGCTTGATATGACTATATCTTAAGAATTTTCTGTGTCACAAATTGACAGCTTTTGATAAAACTCATCATTTACATCATTCAAACAGGATTATTTTGTGTGATGGCAGACCACAGAAAACCTTATTTTGAGACCGGTCCATAAAGACATTTGAATATGATCATGTCACGTCTCTACTCGAAAACCTCTAGCAGCAGCACTGGAAGTTAGTGAAGCAGGGGGAATTTTGTCATTCTTAGGACTGATGCTTCTTCCGATAATATGAATGCAGCATCAGCATGGAGTACTACTCATTTGGAGGAAACCTTTACTTCTCTCATACCCTGTTCATTTCATACCACAACTTCCACGATAGAGTAAGCTGTTCACACTATAACACCAATTAGCCAACAGACTTTCCTATCATGGTAGTAACTCAAAGAACGATTGTTCTAGCCAGACCACAGCTCGTTGGGTTATCGTGATAGCAGGAAATTTCATTCAAAAGAGGTATAGAGAAATAGTATGACTCATAAAGAGTGCATATTACAGATCAGCTGATAAAAAAACAGTACAAAAGTGTATTGGTATTTTTTTCATTTGTTTGTGCATATAAATAGATACACAAATGGTTAGTGTAGAATTCGCTATATTTCAATGGGAAACACCATTCAAAGTAAAAAAGGAAGAATCATATTCCTAACCAAATTACCACTTCACATTGGAGTCAAAGTCAAATGCCTGAAAGGTATGTTTTTTAAATTATTTTCCCCTTACAAGTTATACAAAACCGGATATTTCAAACTGACAAACTTTAGTCGATAAACCTGAAAAAAGAAAAACACAAATGAAAACGGAGTCTCAATTTCACTGAAATATGGTGACAAAAAATTATAGTACATAAAGATGTTATTCAACACCTGAAGTGGAAAATCAATGACGCTACACAACAACATTAAAAAGTGTTCACCAATGATAAATTGAAATTCGTCTTTGAAATAATGGAGAATATTTGTAACTCAGGTAGATGGTCTTGGTTGTATTGTGTTCTCTGAGCTGATGATGGTTATAGGAATCAAATAATCAGTTTCTATTATCATAGCAAAACCTAGTAACTCAAACCCGAAAATCAGTCCAGTCACTAAAGAAACTTCAAAGCACAGACGAAATATAAAAAATAAAAACGAAATTATTCCTCGCTGGAATCGGGGAGACGAAATGACGCCAGTTGGTGAAAGCCTTCGGGAAGCCAAATCGCCGACATGTCTTCTCTCGATGAAAGCGAAAGTAAACATGATGACATGGAATGTCTGCACAATGCTGGAAGCTGGCCAGCACGGCTGCTCAGATTGTCAAAGAGATGAGAAGGTATAGCATACAAGTGCTTAGAATCTGTGAAAGTAGGTGGAATCGAAGTGAACTCTCCAAACTGTCAACTGGAGAGTCAACAATCTACTCCGATATTGTCACCCCGACGACAATCACGAGCACACTGAGTTATGGAGTGGCTGTCATGATATCCCCAAGAGCATCAAAGGCTCTCATGCAGTGGGAACCAATCTTCTCCTGCAGCATCAATATCATGACAGCAAGATTCAACTCAGAAGGAAGGAAAGTCACAATCATACAATGCTATGCTACGCTATGCACCTACAAATAATGCAGACCAAGAGAAGAAGGAGGAATTCTATAGGCAACTGCAACACATGGGTTGAGAGGCACTCGGTGAAGTGATAAATGAGAATGGAGAACTGTGTGCAGATTTCTGCGCATTCAACGATTTGGTGATTGGAGGCAGTGTGTACAAGCACAAGGAAATTCACAAGGTAGCGACATGGATTTGATTTCACTAGACACCAGGACACACTAAAAATCAGATCGACTTCATCTGAATGTGAAGCAAGTTGAGACGCAGCCTACTTGACACAAGATCAAGAAGAGGAGAAGATGTAGGCTCAGACCACTATCTAGTGCAAGGAACCTTCCAAATCAAGTTGAAAGCCTGGAACGAAGTTGGTGATAGACCATAGTTGAAGTTCAATACCCGGAAACTAAAGGATGGATCTACAAAGAAAATCTTCAAGTCAGCCATCAGGACAAAATGGGAGACATTAAACAACATCCCTGAAGGAACCTGCATAAAAGAACACTGAAACTCTTCGAAAGAGATGTGGAAGAAACCTGCATAACCCTATTAGGAAGAAAGAAGATAAAGAATGGATCTCGACGGACACATGGAAACTGATAGAGAAATTAGAGGAAGATGGCGAATCAGAAGATGAACCAGTGCAAGGATGAACAACGAAAAGAAGAACTGAACACAACCTATAAAACACTACATTGGACAAAGAAGTGAAGAAGAGTGCGCGCAAAGATAAAAGACACTTCTACGACACATTGACAAGTGAAGCAGAACAGGCTGCAGGTAAGAGAGACAGAGACCTGACAACATTGTGTCAAATAACCAGGTTATTATCTGGGAAGAGATCAATGCAGCTGAAACTAATGAAAGATAGTTAAGGGAACTCAGTTGCCACCAAATAGGATACGAAAGAAACAATGGGCTGACCACTTCAAGAAACTCTTGAATCGACCACCACCATCACCCGCAACTTGTCGAGAAATCCCACGAGCAGTCCAGCCACAAAACTACCAGTGAACACAAGCTCTTCCATAGGAAGAAGGGCCACCTTGTCAAACACCCAAACAAAGGCGACCTAAGTCTTTGGAAGAACTGGCGAGGAATCATGCTGCTGTCCCTGTCCACCCCAAGCAAAATATTAAGCTGCATCATCCTAGGGAGACTAAAACGTTCTCTGGATGCAAGATTACGACCGGGACAGGCTGGCTGGCTTCAGGAAGAACAAATCATGTGAGGATCAAATTGCAAAGTTACACTATGCATCATCATAGAACAGAGTATACAATGGCAGTCAACTCTCTACCTCAACTTCATCGAGTTTGAAAAGGCCTTCGACAGCGTTGACCAAGAAGTAATTTGGCAGCTGCTTCAACACTGCGATTTTAGTGCCACAAACCTTTGTCAACCTCATTCAACAGCTATTGCTATGCTATACGATGCTACATGCCAAGTGATTCACAAAGAAAAGCTCAGCGATGCCTTTGAAGTGAAGACAGGAGTAGGACAAGGCTGCCGCCTACTATCACCGATGATCTTCCTGATTGTGGTCGACTGAACTGGACTGGACTAGATCATGGAACAAACTATGAGGAGCGAGAAGATGGGCATAGGCTAACTAGACCGATGAACGATCCTAGAAGATTTGAATTTCTCTGATGATGATTTACGTCTAATGTCGCACAAGCTTGAAGATCTGTAGGCGAAAACTAGCGAGGTGGCAGAAGAGGCAGGGCAGAGAAGATGGGACTTCAGGTGAACGTAGAGAAAACAGAGGTAATGAAGATGCCCAACCAACAACAACAAGCACCAATCACCATGAACGGGAGAAAATCTAAAGGAAGCACGTCACTGAAACACGTCACATTTTCCTTAGTCTTTTCAAAATATATGGTGAGAATGAATCAACATAGAACCTTGCATACAACCACAAAACTTCAATGTAACATACAGAGAACACACGGATAGGAAGAGATTTACTCAGATTTCAGTTCAAGTCATTCAAAACAGCCTGCAGTTTTTCAGCGTCTTCACCTAGCAGGATAATATCGTCTGAGTACTCCACTTCGACCAGACGTCTACTCGACAGGCAAATCCATCTCAAATCAGAGATATTCAAGGTTATGACCATTAATGTGTATGTAAAAACGTTAAACAGGAACTGTGACAGTGAGGATTTTCGGTGGTCGCCACTGATTGTCTCCAATTCAGATGAAAACTGTCAAGAAGCCTTTAAATGCCTTCATGAGTGCGAATAGACAGCTTTGATCAGCATTGCATACTTGCTCGGTAATCTCTTCACAGACTTAACGTGCCACAACAGCTTTCTGTCAGCAGAGTCAAACGCTTCATTCACGTCAACAAATATGGCTAGTGTTGAACGCCAGTTAGTATGCCTGTGTTCTTTATCTTGTCGAAATGGTGATAATTTTAGTCCTCTCATAATTCGATCCCGCAATCACAAGCTTGACTGTCGTCTCTCTCCTGCAACCAGTAAGGTGAAAACATACACGTAACCGTACTAACGCGAGATCAGAGTCGAAACAGGTACTCCAGAAACAGCGATAACCTTCTCCCTAATCCCCACCCCTTCCACCCACCACCACCACCACCACTCACACCAAAATCACCCTCTCCAACGATACTTGATGGCAATATGATCGATCTGTGTCCATCCTTGGTTTGATATCGGCAGACGCCACCTGACACAGTGTCTTTTCATACACCTGAAGTTATTGTTGATGAGGAACAGGTGGCCATCAGAACCAAATTGCAAGAGATTATCTCCATTGTTGGTCTGTTGACATGGAATTGCCTAGACACCTGTGAGATGCCTTCCCAACTAGGTCAGCTCCTCACACTTGAGCGTTGAAGTCACCCGTTAGTATGACTGTGTCAGTATGTTTTGCTCTATGTAGCAAAATTGACAGATTTGATTGAAATCATCCTTTGTATCAACTGAACTGTTGTCGGTGGGTGCGTGGGTGGGGATTGTGAATAGACGTCAGCCACAAATCTCACGATTCTTGCTAGTTCTTACAGACTCATTCAGTCGGACACCATACAGACAGCTGTTGACTGGTATTCAGTTGAGAAGTGTACTTTTTGCTCTACAGCTTAATCCTATGCATGTGACAGCGAGTCCACAGGAGCTAGCCATTGAGTGTCCGGATACTGGTAAAGTGAATTCTGAAAATTCACTACATTAGCGTGGTTGGATCGAGCAAATAATCTCACTGCTGTATTGTATACGTGTCTAAGAAACACAGTATAGATTCATGATTTACGATTCCAGAGTTTTCAGAAGAGATGTCTGCTGTCAGATTTGGCATAGGGTTCAGACCTTGAAGGCACCAATGTAAAATCGACATTGGGGTTTTAAGAGACTGGAGATGGTGTTTCACTGGCTTGGACCGTTGGTTGGTAATGCTTGTAGGGTGAGAGATTGAGGAAATTCTAAGACGCTTAATATTCGTACCAGGTCGTGAATGGAGAAGAGGAGACAAATGTAAGAAGGGTGAGTTATGTTTGACTGGGTTTATTTCATCACTGGAAGCGTGAGGGTGGTTGATAATTCCTGGCTGCTCACACGGTGAAAGTTGTTTGATCAGGGTACTTGGAGGAGAATAAGGCAGAAATTTGCATGACTGCAGAGTCTATTGAACACCTGGTTGAAGCCTGTCACGCAGACACCCTTTTGAGGATTGTTGGTTTGAGATTTGTTGTAGTGCAGGATTGGAAAAACGCATAGCCCGGGCAACGGATCACGACAGGAGACATAGTAGTTTGCTATCCTTAGGGCAATCGTTTCAAATATCTTTCGTGGTTCGCGTAGGGCAGGTAGCATCATGACAATAAAGTGTCTTATAGATGTTATGATACTGAGCCTTTGACGCGCGCAGTGAAGTGAGTTAAGATTCAAAACCAGGACCAAACGTTTCAAATGCCAGAGCGCTATCCACTTGGCCATGGAGTCATGATAACCACTCCTTGTACTACTGTTATAATTTTAGTGGGAAGAGAACCGCACACTGAGAGGCTGGGACACCTATCCGAAGAGTCCCAAATAGGACGAAACGCGCGTACTGGATTCCACTCCTAGCCACTATTCATCATTAGTATTAAGTTGAGTAAAGATTCCTTTTCCAGTCCTCCTGATGTCAGGTTAAAGGACTCTCGTTAGCGCAACTGCTCAGTCATGTGCAGGAGCCACGTACCTAGGTCAAAGGCAGCTTCGATGCCAAAACATATTCACAAAATTCATAAGAAGATGCTCACTATAACTTCAGTCAGTAAATGAAACAATTAAATATACAAAATGCTTTCGTGTTGTTACATGAATACGTTCTGAGCTATGATATCAACTGGTAGATTGTAGGGATTGATTGATTTCAAGGAAATATTAATGACGGATTTGTATAATTTGGAGAATTGTTCCGTCTTCATATGGCACTCAGCCGTGTGGACTAACTACCCCACGAGCGTAGGAGCCCAGGACGAAGCAGCTGTCCAATGTTCCAATGTTTTCAAAGGTTCTCCAATTGATGTCACGCCACGTAGTGAATACTACTTTGAAATTATGATATCAGTTAGTAGAATATTTCCCTTTCTTAGTGTTTTTTAGAATTAACACGATAATTAAAAAGATTATATATGAGAAGAAAAAAAGTACATAGTGCTTGTCAAGTAAGATGTTATACTTAGAATTGATAAGTAATAATATGATAATGAATGTGATATTGATTATTGAAATAAATATTGTGAGAAAATCTACACTACACTTACTTACTATTTTGGAAGTGATCAAATAAGGATTTTAAATTATGGAGAGCATGTTTGTCTGGAGTTAGATATAAATTAAACCGTGAACCCAAGGAGAAGATATTCCGATTTAAAATACAGACAGCCAAACTATAAAAAGAAAGATCAAGTTATGATAATAATATTGGATAATTGTATTGAAAATAGCGAATCGTTCATACTTCTAGTTGAATCAATTCCCTCCTGGTTATTGACAGTTTCGACAGTGTTAGCATGCTGTAAGGTGCAGTGACCAAAAAATCCTGAGAATAGTACATCCTGTTTTATCAGTTACACAGGAGAGGATGGACTAAGTTAAAGAATACTTGTTAGATGTTATTTTCACTAAAAAAAATAAACTCACTCCACAGACAGCTTCATCACGCGTTTCCTATAAAAGTTACGAATGTTAAGATATTGTCGTTCCTCAAAAGTCTTTCCTTACAACGAGAAACAGGTATTAAAGTTCGGTTCTTGGACTTGGATACAAGTGTTGGGGTTTGTAGAATAAAATCATCATTTTATAAATGATTCTTTGCTGCATATACAAATGATTAACTCAATGCCAAAACTTCAGTTTCCTTATGTATAGATGATAATAGGTAATCAGAGTGACAGGTTAGAACGGAAAGTCCATATCCACTGGGAAACTATCTAAACTCAAAATCAGGTCACGTATACGTTTTGTGAGACATTTTTTCTACATCTTTTGTACACAATCAGCATTTCATAAACTAAAAAACAGCTTTTTGTCATGTCTCGGTTACTGAGGGTACTAGAAAACTCTAAGATGCACTGCAGCATAAGTTTAGTCTGAAAACCATAGAAAGGTTAGAGGAACACTTTTCTAATACATCAAAAGCAGCTTCATCAATACGAACTGAAAGAATCACATTTATGTTACCATTAACAGATCATTGAGTCCCAAGAAAAACTAAATACATGAGCCTTATTAGTAATTTCAGAAATGATGTGATTTTAAATAATCATAGCTAGAGATCTGTGATTGTTTACCTTTTGAATCCTATCTCAAACATTCGCATGACCTTAGAATCTTCCTTATTCTACTACCATGGTAATTTGCTTACCTCAAGCGATTTAGCTCATTCCTACATGAATTTCACTTTGCTTACAAGATACTTAATCGTCCGTCGTCCACCTAACCATCGAAATGGCCAATCGAGTATCACTTATAGAGGTTACAGAAACATACCAACCTACACGTGTTTATCTATAGGCTTGAATCAATGAAAAATAAGAATACCAATCCTTAACATGCCATTTAAAGCTTTAAATTAATCTACTTGATGAAAAATGCGCACACACACAACCTCCATCAGGGCCCAACTTTGTCAAGTATGCAAATTCGTTACATATTATTAAGTTTGTACAGTTTCACTCATGTTATTGATACCAATGTACGACAAAATAAAGAAACCTCTTTTAATGTGTAGCGAAATAAGCAATCACATGCCAAAATCAATACACAATAATGAATATATATATATATATATATATATATATATATATATATATATATATATATATATATATATATAATTTCAAATATAATTGTCGTATACTATCAATTCAACCCATCAAGCGATCGTCCTTCACCAATCCCGATTACATGCATTAAATGTGATATGAAATATCACTAAATAGTGAAACACAGTAGCCTCGGTACTACTGAATAAGATACACTGATATCGTGTTGCGTGTTTTTAAAGTAACCAAATAATGATAATAAACTTCTTTACCTGCGATCTGATGGAGATAAGTCACGTGTGAAAATATCCATCAGCTTCAGTTTAGGATAATTTTCCACAAAATCTTGTGGATAGATGATAGGTTGATCAAGTATAGCAGCAACCAATGTGAACAAATGGGTTATATACGCGAAGCATACAGGAGATGCAAAAGCATAGTCTATACTGTGTTGAATAGCATGACCAGCAGTCATAACCGATAAACTGTCTAGTAATTCCAAGCTATCTAATGGAATTGGCAGATTGTCGTTGGATGATTCAGTCTCATCCATTATTGGACTCTGAAATAAAAATGAAAATTGTGAACAATAAACGTGAGCTGAGTGAAATAATAACTTTAAAACTTGTATTAACTTGAGAAAGCAATACCGGCTAGCTGACATAAACTAAAATAACTTAAAATTTAGACCAGAAATATTTAGCAATTTGCATACCGTCATCTAATCAGCAAGCTGTGATGTTTGAGCGTAAACCGAAGCGAAAAAACAAAGAAACTTAGGAACTGTTTCTCATTTCAGTATTTCATCACAAATCCAGTATACGCAAGAATAGCAAAAATTATTACACGACAACAGACAGGAATGAAATATCGCACAAAACTAAAGCATTTACCGTAAACAGAATCAGTACAAAGCATTCGCTACTATTTAGTGAACTATTTCTAAATGTCTCCAACTACTTAACTATTACCTATTACAAACCGAAAGTAAAATTCCGAAGCTTCATATTCCTTCTCTGAAGTCTCAACAACTATTCAGGGACATCATCATTCAGAAAACAAAGTACGAAAGCTTATAACACTTCCAAAGAATACTACAACAGTAGAGGAGAAATTCAAAACCATCCACGAAACCTGTCAGTGAGTAAACTATCTCTGCTGAAATATCTTCAAAAATAATCTGAGAGATTTTACAAACCGACTATTGCTAGGTCCCAAATCTGTTGGAAATACCACTCTTGAGTGGTTAATGCATATCCCTGTATTACTTGTGTTATAATGGGAAGATGATTATGCAGGCATCATGGTGACAGAAATGCACAAAAAAAAGTTAATGTCTGAAGTCAATAACAACTACAAGTGTGTGTCGTTTAATCAGGGTATTAGGGATCATAACAATAGAAGAAGTAAAAAATGAAAAGCTTGCAAATGCTTTCATACGCAAAACGCAATTTTCATCATAAACTGCTTATTTTTCGATGCATGAGAATGATTCAAATGATTGATTGTTAGCTTAGTTACACATAGTAAATCAAGTGCAATGCACTGAACACAAATCACAAACGTTATAATACAACTTTGTGAAAATTGTGACCTACTTACAATGTTGTAGTAATTAGAAACCTTGTCCTCACAGAATCTTTAAAGTGCATTTTGTATTTCTTTTGTTTTCTAAACACACTTTTTGCTGACCCGATAAGATAGTCTCTTTGTTTAAGTTTACATTTTACTACTATCTATTGATTTGAAATTAGTATTACTAAACGGAGTGACACACTATAGTCTTACCTGAAAGTTTGTGTCGTTCAGTGTGCAGATCGTTGAAACAAGATACTAAGCTGCTATCACACAAGCTAGGTTAACAAATAGTTACTTGATATAACACAACATACACTCACTTAAATTTTCGAAATTGAGAAGACTTTTGATATGTTGACGATTGAGATATCTATGATAGCTTTTATCCATATTGTTTGGAAAACGGTCAATCAGTGGCAGTAAATCAATATGCAATTTTAGGGAAGACAATATTTGATCTTTGTGGAGAAATACCTTTTCAAAAACCCATGATGCGTATAGTCGCGTCACTAGATGCTGTGCCTTTCGATGGTGACTGTGCTGTGCACATATCTCCTGATTACGAAGGAGCCAGAAGGTGTGACAAAGGAATGAATTCAAGTAAATTCCTGAATCGTACACTCATTCTGTTGTTACAACTACTGGCCTCTTTATGATCAAAAGGCATGTACGTATCAAGGTTATCAAAGAAACGCACAGTATTTGGTGATACAAAAATACGTGTCATCACCTTGTACAAATTATATTTGAAGTCAATCCCTAAATCAAATTTTGCAGCAACAGGACAATACCGAGCCCAAATCAACGATGAGGATACTAAGACAGCTTTCAGCGACAAACCGGCTAAACAGTTATTGGAAGAGGACAATGTCATTAATCCATCTCTAGCCTACTGCGCAAACAGCGTTGAAGACCGTAGCTGACTCTCAGAAACTGGTTAGAAAGGGTCAGTGGATCTCATCAACTTCTCCTCAATTAATAGATGTGCATGAACGCATTCTCATGGGCTTCGAGCACAATAAAGAGTGGAAGCAACTCGAAGGTAGATTGAAAAGAAGTCTATCTAATAGGCACGATCAGTGGTGAGCAGCACAGAGCTAAATAGATAGAAAAACCAAAGGATGCATTTATTTATACTGTTAGTTATACGATACCGGAGAACGATCGGTCCACGATTCTCTCACAGGGGAGGTGACTGGAATGATTGGTGAAACACCTCAAGTAACAAGTAGTTCAACTGACCTCCGACAATTTTTCGCTCCCCAATATACAGTCGGATCCTGAATAATACAGTAGGGAATGATATAGAGGGGACTCCAACAGTTGCAGAAGTCGAGAAGACAGTACATAACATCAAACGAGAAAGCACAGAAATCATCAACGAGCTAGGACCAGAGGTATTTAAGTACGGTAAAGGAGGATTATCGTTTAGATTAACTGACTCGTTCGCTAAACTATGGCAACCAAATATGCTTTTTCATGATTGGTCTCGCTCACTGATTGTTCCTGTCTTCAAGAAAGGTGAGAAGTCCTCCTGCATTAACCACAAGAGAACCAGTCTGACGAACATGTCTAAGAATCTAGGTTCTGGTAATTTTAGGCGATCGAGCAAAGTAGCGGACCTGAGAAATCCAGATGTTTCTCAGACCTAGGCTGTAGACGAATCGATCAGATATCCACCCCACGTTAGGTTCTGAAACACTAGCATACTTGCTGGCAACAGACACTGACTGCATTTCTCGACCTGAAGGTGACACCAGACTCCGTCAATCAAGAGGTCTTGTGGTATTTTCTCTCACTGAAAGGGACGCTTGGTTACTACACCATCTGTTGTAGGTTCTGCTCTTGAACACCCATGGACGTGCTACAGTCAATGGTGAGTTGTGTACGTCAAGTGGTGTCCGTTAAAGATATCTACTTATCACATTCTTATCTTGCTTTCTCATCATTTTGCTTATGCAGACCCCCCATTCCGCTTTCGAGTTTGACCTTATCAAATGAAATTCCTTAATAGACCTGGAGTGTACACACATGACATGGTCCTGCTATGTGAACGTGATGACAAAATAGAGTCTTCTAGACACCTAGAGTGTCGACTTGTGAATGTTTAAAATGCATTCCTCACCACTAAAACGCAAATTGTTGCTCCATGACTAACCTTTGTTTGTGTCACCTCTTACAATATTGAATGAAATGGTTGTGTTGACCACTTCACGCGTGTAGGAGGTTGGATCAACGTTGATGCATCAGAAACTGACGAAATCTCGACATATATACAAGCGGTTCGCTTGGCCTTTGACAATAAATTACACCGGGATAACCGATTCCTTATAAGGTGTCCAGGTTACTGTGGTGAAGTAAGCTGTATTCTACTACGTGACTGTCAAAAAAACCACCCGAGTTGAAAAACACTAGACTTTCGACCACCATCGCTTTGTCAGCATTCGCCACGTAACATCAAACAATTAAATCAAAAATACGAATATCCTCGGGTTCAATGAACTCCCCGACACATGCACAGAATTAAGCTGTAGAGCAAAAAGTACACTTCTCAACTGAATACCAGTCAACAGCTGTCTGTATGGTGTCCGACTGAATGAGTCTGTAAGAACTAGCAAGAATCGTGAGATTTGTGGCTGACGTCTATTCACAATCCCCACCCACGCACCCACCGACAACAGTTCAGTTGATACAAAGGATGATTTCAATCAAATCTGTCAATTTTGCTACATAGAGCAAAACATACTGACACAGTCATACTAACGGGTGACTTCAACGCTCAAGTGTGAGGAGCTGACCTAGTTGGGAAGGCATCTCACAGGTGTCTAGGCAATTCCATGTCAGCAGACCAACAATGGAGATAATCTCTTGCAATTTGGTTCTGATGGCCACCTGTTCCTCACCAACAATAACTTCAGGTATATGAAAAGACACTGTGTCAGGTGGCGTCTGCCGATATCAAACCAAGGATGGACACAGATCGATCATATTGCCATCAGGTATCGTTGGAGAGGGTGAGTTTGGTGTGAGTGGTGGTGGTGATCGTGGTGGGTGGGGATTAGGGGGAAGGTTATCGCTGTTTCTGGAGTACCTGTTTCGACTCTGATCTCGCGTTAGTACGGTTACGTGTATGTTTTCACCTTACTGGTTGCAGGAGAGAGACAGCAGTCAAGTCTGTGAGCTCGATTGACTTCTAAGATGGGAACGCAAAGTGCATATTTAGGGAGGAGATTGAGAGGCATTGACCTGAACGTGACAGGAATCCTCATCTTAATGAAGCCTAGTGTGATATTTAGTTTGTTGTAGAAACAGTTGATAATCTACAACCGAGATTTAGCAGAAGCCAGTGGGTTTCCGCAACCACTTCCGAACTGATTGATCTGATAAGACTCATTCTAGCGGGCTCTGACTACAATGATGAGGAGCGAAGGCAGTTGAAAAGTAACTTGATCAATACACTCTGTGTTATTATGCACCTGCGAGAAATGGCTGTTGAAAGTATAAGATATGGACAGATTACAGGTTTTTGATCACAGGTGTCTTCGCAGCATTTCTCACTTATGCTGAAATCAATCACTGTGTGAGCAATGTCAACGTTCGACGATGGGTTCTAGGCATGGAAGGCAGGTTAGTCGACGAAGTTGTAAACCCCTTGACTAAATGAGATGGCTTGTTGTGCATGCCGAGCCACTGGTTACCTCGATATGCAATGCCAGCTGATGTAAGAGTGAGGTAGAAGAAGGGAGACTGAAAGTTGGTAGATCAGGACGAGGCATTAGTTGATGAAGTCTCTGACTGTTGATGTGAGCTGTGTAGGGAGGCGTAAACTACCTGGCTGGGGTCCTCAAGACGATGGGAACCAGTGGTCGAAGACACTTGGTGATATTGTGGGAAATCATTCACACTGGTGCAAATACGTTCATTCTCTGACGTCTTCTGAGGTATGAACATTTTCATCAACCTTGATTTTCAAATTCTTCCACTCATACACCTTTATCTACTTTGAAATCACTCTTTTTCTACCCACTTGTTTTCTGTATGCTGCTGTGAAGTGTTGCAATCTGGACTGATGCATTGATGTGTGAAGTTCTACGTTGACTTTGTTGATGTTTTCGTTAGGGGATATGCTTTTGAGGTATAATTCCATAATAGATTTTTTCTTTGATGTACTACACATTGACACTGAGTATCACTTACTTGATGACGTTTCGATGACAATTTATTGCTCATATTCATTTCAAAGTAGTCATACAATTTTGATATTAATATGAGTGATGAATTATCATCGAAACACCATCAAGTAAGTGATACTGTGTATCACTGTGTAGTACATTAAAGAAACAATCTATTATGGAATTAGATTCTACCACAGTGCCCAATCTTTTTCCTTTACATACTAACGAAGTATTTGCTGTCGAATAAGAAATATGTGTAGTGACGATTGTATCGGTGAAGAGCTATCTTTTTTAAAAAGCATACTTGTCGAAAACGGTTACCCTAGCCGTTTTTCTGATAAAAATATGCGGGAAAGAAACACTAAACCGGTCATCCACTCGGTCTCAAAGAAAAGATTGTTTATGAGCCTAGAGTTTAAAGGAAACCTAGCATCAAATGTACTGAAGAATCGTCTTACCAGATCAATCAATAGGACTTTCTTCGCAGCAAGACTTCAGTTGACTTTTACCAGCCGCAACCTATTCTCCGCCTGCGTTAAAGACAAGCTTCCTCGTTTGGCCGCCTCTATGTGCATCTACCAGTTCACCTGCTCTTGTGGAGCAAGGTACATCAGCCGTAGCCAGAGAATGCTTTCTACACGTATACGAGAATATGTTCCTGCTCGGTTTTATAAAGGTGAGAGAAAGTCTGTTAGAAGTTCGATTCTAGAACATTTGATTGACTTCCATCACACAACAAATCCAGACGATGACTTTGAAATTATTTATCGAACTCTCCCAAACCTCCCACGTTCTCTTTGTTTTCAACTCCTTAAAACAGCGAAGGTTTTAGCTATTCATGAACTAAGACCTGATCTGTGTGTACAAAAGAAGTATGTGCAGTCAATGTCTTTATCATGGCCATAACATTTCCCCACTCCATTAGCTCCCCCTCCCACTTTGTTAATTTAACCTTTGTATCCTTCCTTTATCACTATTATTGTTATTATAATCGCCTTCACTTCAACTAGTTTCCGGTGTTGTTTCACTTAATTGTCTTAATCCTTTTAGAAAACATTGACTTCATCTTGTCCAACTTGTCTAATGCCATTACATAATACTTAATTGATTTACCATTTTCAACAATTTTTCCACTCCCTTCTGAGTTATATACTCTCTATGTACCATTCCATATATTACATAATCTATTTATCATTCGCACTTCAATTGTCATTATAATCACAAATGCCTATGTCACCATCCGCTCTATTGCTATTGTCATCACCATATAGTGTTTAGTTTTCCTCACGGGATATAATTTTTTCCAAATATCATATATATACGATTGTACAGCTTGAAAATAAATTCGTTGAAAAGAGTCTCTTCGCTGAATATCTTGTTCTTGATGTTACAATGGGAATTATTAAATTATTTAAAAAAAATCAAATTTGAATGTATGAAATCGTTGTAACTAAGACACGTTACGTTTTACTTAGAGCAAGTCATCATCAGGAACTACATTATATATTTATAAAAGCTGTTTAGAACCACGTTTAAATGTCTGGAGTTTTCCATTCGTTTTCAGACAATACTGACATATTGTCCATTACAAATTGGTGGGAATTGTTCCGGACTTGTAAATAATTCAGTGAAGTGGTCGGTCCAAATTGGTTTGCGATAGACTGACCTTTGAATCGAGCCATTATTCCTTTTTAACATTAAGTCTAGAAAGTGGAACGTTGAATTCAGCTCTTCTTCTATAGTGAATTTAGTGGATGGGTGACAGTCATTGAAACGTTCTAGCAGCTCGTCCATTGAACATGTTTCACCATAAATAAGAAACGTATCGTCAATGTGCCTTTCATGCAAATAAAGTTCCTAAATTATTTCTTCAAGTGACCCATTTTCAAGCTATGCCATAAAGATATCAACCAGGACAGGGCCTAGTGGGGACACTATTGTGACTACGTCCGTCTGATTTTAAATCACATCATTAAATATGAATTGTACATTAAACGTACATCTTAATATCAGCTCGATTCAAAGGTCAGCCTATCGCAAACCAATTTGGACCGACCAGTTCACTAAATTGTAAATAATTCAAATTATTTCTTTAGTTACTTTTCTAAACAAAGTTAGTTGATTATTATTATTATTATTATTACTCATTTCAACTAAAAGTTAACCAGCAATAACAATCATAACTTACACTAATACCACTGGAATTTACTTCTTGGTTGGTGTGGTATACCGGGTTTGTTGAATTGTTGACGAACAGACTAAACACTTCATTTAGTAAATGCAGTATGCGGACAAATAAGGCATAGCGTATTTTATTCAGTTCATTGCTTGAAAAAAGGAAGGGAAGAAATCAGCAGTATATATAAAATAACTTGAAAAACAGGGATTTCAAAGCAATGAATAAACTGAATACATACAAACCTTGAGAACCAATAATATTCACAACAAAGCTCTTTTTGCATACCCAGTTTATGTAAATAAAGCGAAAGAAAATATTTGCAGTGTTTCTACATGTTGACATCAATCTATGATGGATCATACAATTCGCACAAAACGCGTGATTAAAAAAAATTAAAAACAGCTGCATAAAAAAATTAGGAAGTGATTTGGAGTGAAACGCTCATTTATTCAACCGGAAACCATAGGCCTAGGCTTTACACTTGTTGGAACTCGTCTGGAACCTGTATCAACAATCCGTAGAAAATCTATGAGGTCTAAGTGACTCAAACATGCACCAACCAATAAGTAACTCGAAGAATTTACCACACATTTTCTCGAACAACTATGAGCCCTTTCAGGATGCGTGGGGCACACGAACTGCCTACCACAACCTTGAACACATCATCGGTTTATCTTCAGCAGTCAGAAAAACCACAGCCTAAAGACTGAAGAACTGAAGTAACGTGTCAATTTTTTCGAAAAGTGCATCAGAAATCAAGCAAAACATAATAAGACCAATGCACCTAAAACAAGATTTTAAAAATTGACCAGACATAGAATTACCGCGTGGAACCTCTCAAAAAAAATGCATCCGTACAGAATGAAACACATCACAGCAGCATACAGAAAACAAGTGGGTAGAAAAAGAGTGATTTCAAAGTAGATAAAGGTGTATGGGTGGAGGAATTTGAAAATCAAGGTTAATGAAAATGTTCATACCTCAGAAGACGTCAGAGAATGAACGTATTTGCACCAGTGTGAATGATTTCCCACAATATCACCAAGTGTCTTCGACCACTGGTTCCCATCGTCTTGAGGACCCCAGCCAGGTAGTTTACGCCTCCCTACACAGCTCACATCAACAGTCAGAGACTTCATCAACTAATGCCTCGTCCTGATCTACCAACTTTCAGTCTCCCTTCTTCTACCTCACTCTTACATCAGCTGGCATTGCATATCGAGGTAACCAGTGGCTCGGCATGCACAACAAGCCATCTCATTTAGTCAAGGGGTTTACAACTTCGTCGACTAACCTGCCTTCCATGCCTAGAACCCATCGTCGAACGTTGACATTGCTCACACAGTGATTGATTTCAGCATAAGTGAGAAATGCTGCGAAGACACCTGTGATCAAAAACCTGTAATCTGTCCATATCTTATACTTTCAACAGCCATTTCTCGCAGGTGCATAATAACACAGAGTGTATTGGTCAAGTTACTTTTCAACTGCCTTCGCTCCTCATCATTGTAGTCAGAGCCCGCTAGAATGAGTCTTATCAGATCAATCAGTTCGGAAGTGGTTGCGGAAACCCACTGGCTTCTGCTCATCATCATCATCATCATCATCATCATCATTATCAACATAGGACCAGGCATTACTGCGTAACGGTCCGAGTTGCCACACCTCATATCAGTTCATCAAGTAAAAAGGTAGTGAGTTGAAGGATGAAGATAAGTGAATGCAGTCAAAAGAAATATAAAGTACGAGAAGAAAGGAAAGAGGAGTGACAAAATAGTGAGATTCGGTATAGCGTTGTTAAGATGAGGATAATGTGTGTATACATCTGCGCCACTGACTTCGGTTCTGAGCCATATCACCTAGGGTCTCCAACCACTGGTTCCTCTTGTCCCGTGGACTCCAACCACCTAGTCTGCATTGTCCTACATGGCTTAAACCAACAGTCAGAGACTTCATACATTGGTGCCATGTTTTAGTCTGGCCACCTCGGGCCTTTTTCCAGCCTGAAACCACCTCAGCCAACATTGTGTGACGAGGCAATCGGTGACTAGGCATACGTAGTACGTGTCCCAACCATCTCAGTCGATGAAGGTTCACAACCTTGTCGACTGACTTACCTCTTCTCCCCAAAACTCTACACCTAACTTCTGCACTACTCACATGGTGACACCACGGAATACGTCCTATACTACGAAGGCAATGGTGGTCAAACACCTGAAGCCTTTTTGTATCCTCCATTTTCAATGGCCATGTTTCACAACCATATAGTAGAACAGAGCGGACTGCTGTGCAGTACACGCGACCCTTAATAGACAAACGAATATCACGGCGGCGCCATAGGTGGCGCAAATTGCCAAAAGCCAATCGAGCCTTTTGTATCCGTGCAGAAATCTCATCGGCAACTGACCCACCGGAGTTGATCCTACTTCCCAGGTAAGTGAAGTGGTCAACACACTCAACCACTTCACTCTCTATTGTTAACCGCGGTACCGTTGAAGACCAGTTCTGGAGCGAAAATTTGCATTTGGGTGGTGAAAATCGCATCCCGAACATTCTCAAATTCCCACTCAAAGTGTTCAGAAGACTCTGCATCTTGTCAGCGTCTTCACCTAACAGGACTATGTCATCTGCATATTCTAGATCTAGAGAAAATTCACCTGTGATTGGGTCAACGTCTTTGTAATTAGGTGACGAGAGGAAAACCTCCATAAGAATATCTATGATAAAATTAAAGAAGAATGGGGATAGTGGGCATCCTTGACGGACACCACTTGATGAGTATAGCTCCCTGGACAACTCACCATAGGCTCTAACATGCCCACAATTTGACGGAGGGTGCGGACATTGAAGGCTCCAATATGTAATTTGGAGCGTGGTTTAAGGAGACCAGGGATGCTGTTCTGTGGACTCAGATCGTTGTCGAAGGCTGCAGAGGTAGGAGAAATTGAAGATGATGCAGCATCATTAATTAGGAGACGTGAAAGAAGATCAAAAGGTAATGATGGAGGAGGTGGATAGCAGTCAGAAGAAACTAGAGTGCTGACAGAGTTGTGAGGGCGGTTGACACTTCCCGGCTGCCCACACCGTGGAAGGCTATTTCTTCTTAAGGTACCTGAAAGAGATTTGTGTGACTGTAGAGCCCATCGGACATCTGCTTGAGGCCTGTCACACCCAGCCTTTTGAGTATGATTATTTTGAACTTTTGTATTTTTGGGGCCGGATGGTCGAAAAAAACGACAAGTGAACCAACACCGCCAGCCCGGCAGACCGTGGGGCGTGGTGGAGTGTGTTATTTTTGGGGCCGACCTTTTCTAACCCCCCCTTCCACTGAGAAGGCAGCATCAGCATGGCACGGCTGGTCATCCAAGGGAAACACCTTACTGTTGTCACACCCCATCCAGCTAGCAGCAGTACGACTTCGCCCTCAGACCCCATCATAGTGTAGCAATTTACACTATAACGGTAACCGCTTTTCGTCTAACCACTCTCCAACAGACCTTTCTGGTATGGTAGGACCTCGAGGGAAAAAGCGTTCCACCAGCATAGCTCGTTGGGTCATTGTGATATGCAAGCCCGACCACCACGTCAAGGTAGCAGCTATCGGTCTGGCTTCTGCTAAATCTCGGTTGTAGATTACCAAACTAAATATCACACTAGGCTTCATTAAGATGAGGATTCCCGTCACGTTCAGGTCAATGCCTCTCAATCTCCTCCCTAAATATGCACTTTGCGTTCCCATCTTAGAAGTCAATCGAGCTCACAGACTTGACTGCTGTCTCTCTCCTGCAACCAGTAAGGTGAAAACATACACGTAACCGTACTAACGCGAGATCAGAGTCGAAACAGGTACTCCAGAAACAGCGATAACCTTCCCCCTAATCCCCACCCACCACGATCACCACCACCACTCACACCAAACTCACCCTCTCCAACGATACCTGATGGCAATATGATCGATCTGTGTCCATCCTTGGTTTGATATCGGCAGACGCCACCTGACACAGTGTCTTTTCATATACCTGAAGTTATTGTTGGTGAGGAACAGGTGGCCATCAGAACCAAATTGCAAGAGATTATCTCCATTGTTGGTCTGCTGACATGGAATTGCCTAGACACCTGTGAGATGCCTTCCCAACTAGGTCAGCTCCTCACACTTGAGCGTTGAAGTCACCCGTTAGTATGACTGTGTCAGTATGTTTTGCTCTATGTAGCAAAATTGACAGATTTGATTGAAATCATCCTTTGTATCAACTGAACTGTTGTCGGTGGGTGCGTGGGTGGGGATTGTGAATAGACGTCAGCCACAAATCTCACGATTCTTGCTAGTTCTTACAGACTCATTCAGTCGGACACCATACAGACAGCTGTTGACTGGTATTCAGTTGAGAAGTGTACTTTTTGCTCTACAGCTTAATTCTGTGCATGTGTCGGGGAGTTCATTGAACCCGAGGATATTCGTATTTTTGATTTAATTGTTTGATGTTACGTGGCGAATGCTGACAAAGCGATGGTGGTCGAAAGTCTAGTGTTTTTCAACTCGGGTGGTTTTTTTGACAGTCACGTAGTAGAATACAGCTTACTTCACCACAGTAACCTGGACACCTTATAAGGAATCGGTTATCCCGGTGTAATTTATTGTCAAAGGCCAAGCGAACCGCTTGTATATATGTCGAGATTTCGTCAGTTTCTGATGCATCAACGTTGATCCAACCTCCTACACGCGTGAAGTGGTCAACACAACCATTTCATTCAATATTGTAAGAGGTGACACAAACAAAGGTTAGTCATGGAGCAACAATTTGCGTTTTAGTGGTGAGGAATGCATTTTAAACATTCACAAGTCGACACTCTAGGTGTCTAGAAGACTCTATTTTGTCATCACGTTCACATAGCAGGACCATGTCATGTGTGTACACTCCAGGTCTATTAAGGAATTTCATTTGATAAGGTCAAACTCGAAAGCGGAATGGGGGGTCTGCATAAGCAAAATGATGAGAAAGCAAGATAAGAATGTGATAAGTAGATATCTTTAACGGACACCACTTGACGTACACAACTCACCATTGACTGTAGCACGTCCATGGGTGTTCAAGAGCAGAACCTACAACAGATGGTGTAGTAACCAAGCGTCCCTTTCAGTGAGAGAAAATACCACAAGACCTCTTGATTGACGGAGTCTGGTGTCACCTTCAGGTCGAGAAATGCAGTCAGTGTCTGTTGCCAGCAAGTATGCTAGTGTTTCAGAACCTAACGTGGGGTGGATATCTGATCGATTCGTCTACAGCCTAGGTCTGAGAAACATCTGGATTTCTCAGGTCCGCTACTTTGCTCGATCGCCTAAAATTACCAGAACCTAGATTCTTAGACATGTTCGTCAGACTGGTTCTCTTGTGGTTAATGCAGGAGGACTTCTCACCTTTCTTGAAGACAGGAACAATCAGTGAGCGAGACCAATCATGAAAAAGCATATTTGGTTGCCATAGTTTAGCGAACGAGTCAGTTAATCTAAACGATAATCCTCCTTTACCGTACTTAAATACCTCTGGTCCTAGCTCGTTGATGATTTCTGTGCTTTCTCGTTTGATGTTATGTACTGTCTTCTCGACTTCTGCAACTGTTGGAGTCCCCTCTATATCATTCCCTACTGTATTATTCAGGATCCGACTGTATATTGGGGAGCGAAAAATTGTCGGAGGTCAGTTGAACTACTTGTTACTTGAGGTGTTTCACCAATCATTCCAGTCACCTCCCCTGTGAGAGAATCGTGGACCGATCGTTCTCCGGTATCGTATAACTAACAGTATAAATAAATGCATCCTTTGGTTTTTCTATCTATTTAGCTCTGTGCTGCTCACCACTGATCGTGCCTATTAGATAGACTTCTTTTCAATCTACCTTCGAGTTGCTTCCACTCTTTATTGTGCTCGAAGCCCATGAGAATGCGTTCATGCACATCTATTAATTGAGGAGAAGTTGATGAGATCCACTGACCCTTTCTAACCAGTTTCTGAGAGTCAGCTACGGTCTTCAACGCTGTTTGCGCAGTAGGCTAGAGATGGATTAATGACATTGTCCTCTTCCAATAACTGTTTAGCCGGTTTGTCGCTGAAAGCTGTCTTAGTATCCTCATCGTTGATTTGGGCTCGGTATTGTCCTGTTGCTGCAAAATTTGATTTAGGGATTGACTTCAAATATAATTTGTACAAGGTGATGACACGTATTTTTGTATCACCAAATACTGTGCGTTTCTTTGATAACCTTGATACGTACATGCCTTTTGATCATAAAGAGGCCAGTAGTTGTAACAACAGAATGAGTGTACGATTCAGGAATTTACTTGAATTCATTCCTTTGTCACACCTTCTGGCTCCTTCGTAATCAGGAGATATGTGCACAGCACAGTCACCATCGAAAGGCACAGCATCTAGTGACGCGACTATACGCATCATGGGTTTTTGAAAAGGTATTTCTCCACAAAGATCAAATATTGTCTTCCCTAAAATTGCATATTGATTTACTGCCACTGATTGACCGTTTTCCAAACAATATGGATAAAAGCTATCATAGATATCTCAATCGTCAACATATCAAAAGTCTTCTCAATTTCGAAAATTTAAGTGAGTGTATGTTGTGTTATATCAAGTAACTATTTGTTAACCTAGCTTGTGTGATAGCAGCTTAGTATCTTGTTTCAACGATCTGCACACTGAACGACACAAACTTTCAGGTAAGACTATAGTGTGTCACTCCGTTTAGTAATACTAATTTCAAATCAATAGATAGCAGTAAAATGTAAACTTAAACAAAGAGACTATCTTATCGGGTCAGCAAAAAGTGTGTTTAGAAAACAAAAGAAATACAAAATGCACTTTAAAGATTCTGTGAGGACAAGGTTTCTAATTACTACAACATTGTAAGTAGGTCACAATTTTCACAAAGTTGTATTATAACGTTTGTGATTTGTATTCAGTGCATTGCACTTGATTTACTATGTGTAACTAAGCTAACAATCAATCATTTGAATCATTCTCATGCATCGAAAAATAAGCAGTTTATGATGAAAATTGCGTTTTGCGTATGAAAGCATTTGCAAGCTTTTCATTTTTTACTTCTTCTATTGTTATGATCCCTAATACCCTGATTAAACGACACACACTTGTAGTTGTTATTGACTTCAGACATTAACTTTTTTTTGTGCATTTCTGTCACCATGATGCCTGCATAATCATCTTCCCATTATAACACAAGTAATACAGGGATATGCATTAACCACTCAAGAGTGGTATTTCCAACAGATTTGGGACCTAGCAATAGTCGGTTTGTAAAATCTCTCAGATTATTTTTGAAGATATTTCAGCAGAGATAGTTTACTCACTGACAGGTTTCGTGGATGGTTTTGAATTTCTCCTCTACTGTTGTAGTATTCTTTGGAAGTGTTATAAGCTTTCGTACTTTGTTTTCTGAATGATGATGTCCCTGAATAGTTGTTGAGACTTCAGAGAAGGAATATGAAGCTTCGGAATTTTACTTTCGGTTTGTAATAGGTAATAGTTAAGTAGTTGGAGACATTTAGAAATAGTTCACTAAATAGTAGCGAATGCTTTGTACTGATTCTGTTTAAAGGAAACGTTTAGGTTGTGGATTCACAAGATGAAATTTGGAGAGCATCTATATGAAATGTACCATTCTACATGGTGACATAATATTATGGGGTAGGAGTAAGTACTGAGAAATGTAAAAGGATCAGTTAAGCAATACATCAATGGAAGGTTTATGCGTTGTCGAATGGATTAATGCGCTAAAATTAACAATTTTCATGAGAAGGTTAGATAATGATAGTTTTATTATCTTGTTAATATTTCAAGAGAATAAAATACACATAAATGTATGTAAACTTGTCATTAAAGTTTTCGTTCATAATGCATTAGTCAGATAAATAATCTTAAAGGAAATCTGTAAAACAGTGTTCGTTATTTCCTTCCTACTTTTTATAACAGAAAACGCAAGAAAGTGGAAGCTGGTTATGGGCAAGGGTTTCCCTTAAAAGCCACATCTGATAACCGCAATTTATTTGTCAGATGTTATAGTATAGTCGTCAGACTATATGATTCGGATATAATGGAGAATATTTCGAGCTCAGGTAGATGGTTTTGGTTGTATTGTGTTCTCTGAGCTAATTCGACATTCTGAGGCAATGCATTTGGTACTAGGCGTTCGAAGTTACGCGATAAAGACTCTTGTACCTGGATTTTGGCTTTTGATCTCCCCCTTATTTTTGTGGTATATCTTGGGGCCTACAGAAACTCATTCTCTCTTTGAAATTCACAAGCTCTAGCTAGACTGTTCCAGTCAAAAATATTAACGTTTAGTGGTTCATACTACAATTAGCCTCCAAATGGTCACTAGATCATTTCGTTTGGCATTCGAACAAAAGTTCATGTACTCAAGTTAGTTACATATGAGGCAAATTTCTGTCTTACTAACAACTCTGTCAGTAATCAACAACGAGGGTACGAACCACAGAAAGCAAGAGTTTCTTTGACGTCGTAGGTATAGTGTGTTAGTGAGTGTTCACAATCAGACAATCATTATCAAGAGATTATAAATAACTATCTCGAATACTTAATTGAGCTAATTTTTCTAACTTTTCGAAGTAACCACTTGAATATAGCAGGTGATTGCAGAGCAACAAATAAATTACACATACGTACAACTACCACAAAAAGTAACACTTACTGACTCGCCTTCAAGATTGATTTAAAGTTTCGAGTCGGCTACAAGCTGTTTCTTTGTTTTCATTCATGTCCAGTAGTTCTTGTTCTGCAAAGTGTAACACCAAAAGTATTTTCTTTTAAATGAAGCATTAGTTGATATAACACAATACAATCGACTAATAATGACCAATGTGAGTGAAATGAAATTATGAAAACTGTTCAATTTGTAGTTTCATTATTAGCTGATAGTTAACCACATAGACAGTTACAGTCATTATTTGAATAGATCAATAATGCTGTAAAATATTGAACTTTGATACCACACGATAAAATCTACCGCAAGATGACGACGGACATCATAAATACTTCTAACGATACAATGGAGAAATGAATATGGCACAATACACCCAATCTGATTATAGGTAAAAAAGTATTTATCACTAGGTTAATTATGAATAAAACACTAACCAGAGTATTGTTTTGGTTAATACCAAAACTCATTCTACTCAACAAACTTTTTCGGCGACGAAAAGCTACAGCTAGTTCCGATTCTTAACTGCGTGAAAAAGATGAAATATACCCAATTATTCATGAATAAGAACAAGACATGTACCAGTGAAGAAATATTTCTTTTCAATGACTCATTATCAAGCTGTATAGTTGTATTTATACTGTGGAAAATGACAGATAATTGCACTAAAAAAGTTGTTCGGTTATTATGCAGAATATACAATAGGTGTTGGTATTTGCTCAAGTGGAAGAAATAGAAGATGGGTCACTGAATAAGGAAAGAATTGGTAACAAGTGGTGAGATAAGAGATACAAGCTGTCAGAGAATTGTAAAAAGGTGATAATTTAGCTGAAACATGCAAAAAAAGGGCAATGAATAAGGAGTGAATTGACATTAAAAAGTGAAATATGGGTCAAATGTTGTCAATGAAGTGACAATTGGTGATAATGATGAAAATGAAAGGGAAGTATACCAAAGTGAAGTGAAATGAAATTGACAAAACAACCAAAATTATTGTTAAGGCCAAGGTAGAGAAAGTAGTTTCACAAAACGTTTTTGAAAGCAAAGTTTCGGCTTTTGTTCATGTAAAGCTAATGCTTCAGCTATGCATAAGTGGTGGAAACATAAATCTTTTGAGTAGTTTAATGTAACTTTGTAAATTACTTTAAAGGATGAATCTCGAGGTGCCGAATGACCTAGTGCTATAGGTGATCACACAAGGATGAAGTCGTTTTCCTTCGCTCGCCTTTGGCAAGCCAAATAGTGTAAAATTCAGCAACAAGTTTTCGGAAGGCCTGCTTGCAACGTCCAATACAGTCAGCTCCACAGGAGCAGGTGAATTTATAGACACATAGAGATGTGGACATAAGTGGAAGCCTATCTTTTACGCATTGTCGCATCAGACGGCGGCTGGAGAATATTATTCTCAGTCTAGCAGCATAGAAGCTACTATTGATACACCTTCATAGACGGTTTCTAAGCACTTCAGCTTTGGTGTCTCCTTTGAAGTCTAGATTCATGGTTAAGATTTTCGCAGGAACTGTAATTGGATGGAGAATGATTCGTTTCTTCAGATACTTATCATATCTTCAAGGGTATCCCTTATTAGTTAGTGTTGTTCTAAGAGTTTCGATTTCAATATCCACTATATCTTCGCAACATATTTAATGGATTCAGGAACACAGCGAGTGAATGAGACTTCTTTGACCACTGTAATTATTATTCTTCTTTCCTTGGGTTCCCAATGGAACATATGGCTTCAGTAGCACGCCTCCATTGCACTCTGTTCTCTGCAGTTTGTGAACATGGCTCCATGACTGCCCACAAGCTTTCAATTCTTCCTCACATGATCTCCATGTCACCTATGGCCAATTACTGTACATTAAACCCACGTGCAACTAATGTACAGTCAACATTTGATAATATAATTTATAATCAAACAGACAGAGTCGTTGGAAAAAATATTTCATCGCTGATACATCTATTTCTTATTAATGCTTCAGAAACAGACAAAACGAATCTGACACTAAAACAATACTGCCTTATTTCCCAACAATAGGAAAATATTTAGCAACTTTAAAAATCAAACCGATCGTAAGAAGAATATATAAGAAAAAGAAATAGCCATTTATTTAGTCACAAGTTATCTAAGACTTAAACTGATTGCCAAATAACAAAATGAGCGTAGAATCCCGCATACAGGCGAGTTGGCTCAATTTGGAACAATTCAAAGAAGCAGACAAGCAAGCTGTAAATCGAAAAAATGATATCCAAGTTGGACTTCCAGGAGGGTGAATGTGCTATCGATGCATACTTGTCTAGATCTAAGACCTGCATCGTTTTCTCCAGTTTACTGTTCTCGAGCTCCAGTTAGGTGTCGGATATTATCATTATTAATACACTGTCTTTTGGAAATAAATTAGCTTCATGTTATTTTAAAGTGTTTTTGCCAACCAGCCTTTTTACCCATGTGTTCAACTAGATTGTGAAATAAATCGCGTCGTAAATATTGTCAGAAAACTTTTCTATATTATATTGCAGGTGTACATGCATTAGTTCAAATGTTTAAGAAATTCAGCCAGCCTTCTTACATTTTTAACATCGATAACACTATACATGGCATTAAGTGGTTGGTAACTATCATCAGGGTTCTTGTAAAGAAACTTTGCGTAGTTGGTCATGCAATTCAGAAGTTAATAGAGTGAAAGAAATGTTTATTTATAGACCTGTTACTATGCTGCCATATAATAATGGCATGAAATCGGAGACCAGATGCTTTGTCTTTAGCAATAGACTAATTGCTTTATATATTGGCTTTGAAAAGGAATATATGACATATCTATATCATACCAAGGATACAATGGAAAATCTGTGCGTTCGAAGGTTTTGCTCCAAGACAAACCCTAATAGATCTAATATGCTACTATGTTTCGTGATTGATTTAGTACCTAACATAGGACTTATTAAAAAGTTTACGATTGTTTGCAACTTAATCACATAAAGTTTGAGAAACTTAGCAATATCACTTATAAAAACACTAGCATGTCAGTGTGTTACAGTCAGCCACGTTACTACTGAGCTAAACCATCCAATGACACTGTAAACCTCTATCTAATGAGGTGGCTTAAATAGGCTTTATGCATTATGATTTACTGTTGACTCCGACGCGCCAGAAAGACTGAAGTGTGGCATCAAGCCATGGAGTCTTGTTACTGTTGGCTCAGGTTTTATGACTGAGTTCTACAATGTAACCGAAATCAGATGGCAGGGTTACAGATACATACACGCTTCATTTTCATTCTGATCGTCACATCGTAATGAGCTGTTTATAATAGCCTCTTTTTATTTCGTTTTATGCTACATGACCTTTTAGTTTCTCTTTCTTCATTCTTCTTGTACTGATGTGAGCTGTTAAGAAATGTACTCTTAGTCAGTAGTGCTAAGTTTGATGATGAGACATTTACGATATATCTGAAAGTTAAAGCCTGAATCCCCATGCTCTAAGGTTGTAAAATTAGGCGTTGACTTACTGAGTCAGGTACCATGCGCTATAGTTTAAGCTTCAATCAATTTGTGATTTACATTAATTTTGTGTCTTGCTCTAAGTGCAAGTTTAGGATAGACAAAAGAAAGGCAAATAAGAAGGCAGTTGAGAAGCCTTTATTGTAGACAAGAGGAGAAGTAATTTATATTTGAGTCTTAAATTAATATCGTCTTTAAGTGTTCACTATACTCATCAACTAACCGATTGAAGGAAACTAATATCATCTCGTTTAGCAATCTAATGATTATCATCAGTAATGGGGCATACGAGTAATTATAAATAAAATTTCCGTATTAACCAGTGATTGTTTACCAATCTGATGATCTGATCAATTCCAATGAGAAGTAAACATTGCTGGAATAGATGAATTACTAAGGAGAAAATATTCAACAACACCAGTGCATTTAAAAAATGTATACGAGTATCTTGCTAGCGTGATACTGCTTCTTAGTGAGTTTTTAAAAATTATTATTATTTTAGTGTTATTGCTTGTATTACACCGTCGTTGATAGGACCGAATTGATCAGCCTCTGTTGGCATATGGGCTCCTATGCGGATGCCTCGATATGGCCTGTTTTTTAACTATGTTTAGTAATGATGGGCAGTGGCTAGCAGTGGAATCCAGGATGCACATTTCGTCCTATTTGGGACTCGTCAGCTGGATGTACCTGCTTCCCAGTGAGTGATGTTGTTCCCACCGGGACACAAGAAGTGGCTATCGTGGCTCGGTGGTGTAGTGGATAATTATTATTATTGTTATTATTAGAGCACAAATATAGTGCAACAAGGGCAACAAGAAATACGCCACACAAAATAATGTAACAACATTATGAAGACATAAAGCTATGGAAAGTGGATAAGTGAATAAGAAAAACACTATAAGAATAGAATGATTAGAAAGGCAGTCCAGTAAGATATATTCAAAACAAAGCATTCATAACTTTTCAGCAGCAAGAGATAGAAGGAGCTGGTGGGTGTCCAGGATCCAAGAGCGAAGGTCGTGGCCCTTAGCACGTTACTAAGGGGTCGAGCGAGAGCAACATATGACGGCGTGGAACGTGCAGATGGCAATGAGATTTGAGAGGAAATAGTCGAATGACTGGAGGGGGAGTTTGACAACCCAGCGGACAGGGAGCTGGCGATGCAGCAGTTCCCGAGCACGAACCATGGAATAGACGAAGATCCACTGGTATTGGCTGTGTAGTTGACAAAGCTACTTCGACGAGCACTTCCCACTTTTCATGAGGACTCCCAAGCACAGTTGCTGGCTGCCCAGTTCACCGGAAGTGTCCCGAATGGCATTACCCAGCAACTGCGACTAGGGAACGCAGCCCAACCCATGGACATCAGTGAGCTGGCGAAGGTAGCCAGATAGCTGATGGGTGCAACAGTAGCTGCGGTACAGTCACCAAAGGTAAATAACGGAAAAACGAATAGATAACCTTCGGGAGGAGGCGGCTTCACTTCAAATGAATATCAACAAGCAGTAGATGCTTCTCATGTGGGAAACTGGGGCACTGGCGAAGAAATTGTCCGGAGAGACGAAAAAGAA